TCGTCAGATGGTGTATAAACCCACTAATCGGGGGATCTCCGAAACTTCAACGTGGATTAGACTCCTGACTTGGTCAAGCTCCCGCTCCCTCTCCCTTAACCCTTCAAAGTTGTGATATCACATTCCCTTTTCTCCGCCCCGACAGACTGTTTCTTTTTAAACAACTCCACTCCTTCGACTGCGAGTGACCAATGCATCCCTAATTCCGTAAAGTATCTGAGTTTTTTGTGGCTTAAAGTTAATCCTGGTCTATACTTTCCAAAAAGTCAAAGGACTATTTTTTAATCCCTCAGGCTCAAAATGCTCTCCGTACCGCGTGCTGTATTTTAAGGTTTGTAAATGCACATATTCTCCCAATGGATGTACTGTACCCCTTTTATGTTCCCTGGACTTCTCGATCTCTAAAAATTTATTTCCGAATGCTCTGGACTAAGCAAAGAATGCTCCGTTGATTTTGTGCGTAGCAAGCATTTTGGCACATGCTTTAACTTCTTATTCAAGATTCTAAACGACCCCTGTAGTCCTCTACACTGTTTGAGCAGATACGGCATGCACCCCTTTCATACGGTCGAAATTGGAAGTTTTATTTGCCTGTACCTCTTCGTAACGTAACAAAGCCTTGCTTTATCTGTCTCGTTTGTTAGTCGACCCAAACATGAGAATGTTTGCTTGCTTGAAAATGAACTCTGTTTTCTTGTCACTTCACATCATTTTCCCACCGATTTAATGTTGTAGCATATCCACAGTTTTAGTGTTAAGTGCCGGAAATGTTCCCATACGGGTGTATACAGCTTACCTTGACTCGACTTGAACGCCCCCTAACATGAGTGGGGCATCCACGAGTGCGTCAATAATGTAGATTTCTCAAGGTTTACAGATGTCAACAATCGTAGATTAATAACCAGTAGGTTAAAAAGCAGAAGACATAAGTCGCGATGGATGTGGAGTGGTACATGAAATAATCGCATTATCAGTTGAGAACATAGGTTCCAATTTTCCCAACAACCTCTGGGGTCGCATTGGACTCAACAGTTAGGCAAATGGCAACTGCACAGCTGTACGTGGACAAAGTAGCCCCCAGGAAAAGAAGGCTAATTCTCGTAGCGACTATTCTTTGGCTTTTAGTTCCGGTCAGTCGATCAACTATGACCCCTGAACCGATGTGCAGTGAATCCAGTTGCACTGATTCATACTGGAAAGACAGTAAACACCAGCATAATCTTCAAGATAATACCAATAATGTCATGAGAAACGGAAAAGAAATAAGATGGTCAAATGAAGTAGCGAGGACCAGAAATAGAGGAAAAAGTTAAGTGTCACTGAGTCCTTGGCTGGTAGGATATCTGACCGTCGATATCGATAGATCACCAGGCAAGAAAGCGACGAGCACTAACTGATTCCGCCTATCTATCATTTGTCATGCTGATGTATCACATCATTAACTGACCACCTCGAAGTCTCGATCAACTAGGTGGGGCATTGAAAAACAACATAAATGAGACATCCGAATTGCGTTCATGCAGAACAAATGACCTAGCCAACAGAAGCAGCTTGAATGCAAGAGACGTTCGAATGCGACAGTAGAGTTAGTGTCCAAATGCCACGTGATGAACTCCGGTATTACCTATTAGACGTGTCTACCACATAAAAGTAGCGAGTCAAAACGCGTCCAGTATTTCAAGATTCTCAGCGCGCAGTGGCTCGGTCGCTGGGGAATATAGCAACAGTGATCATGCCACAGCGTCATGTAACTTCTCTTGCCCAATAAACCTACATACCCCCATTTTCCCAAGTGATTTGGGTTGTGGTAAGCCAGACATGTGGGTAACCATTCGGTGATGCAAGCACCAAAGGCGACACAACCAACGAGCACATCCAGTGTTCGTTTCTTAGTTATGAAAATAGCCAGTGTCCGCTCAATTATGTGACAGCCCTTTAAAGATGTGAAGTGTACGCGGAAGCTTGATGCGCCACACGTTAGCCTAGCCAACGACAATTGTATGGAAGTTGACCCTGACGAAGAATGAACCATGTCATCCATGATTAGTCGCTTAACAGGATATCCATCTCTAAAACAAGTCAGGGAGAAATGAAGAGAGTAACCCTTACCTAATCCACTTACAGTGGGGAACTTACGGAAATTTACGGTAGACCGCCACACAGCCAAATGAGGTGCGCAGACGTTGAAATAGAAACTTAAAGAGAATGTCCCTCAAGCGAGTCATGTTTGAAATAAGCGCACTCGAGAGAATCGAAGAGAAACTGCTGCGACAGGTTGACTGTAAGTAAGGTGACGTTCAAGTACCTGAGGAGGAGTGCAAATGTGGTTAACGCATACTTCCCAGGACGGAAGTCAGTCTGACTTTCACAAAAACTAGTGAGACGCCGCATCACCATGTATTTGAGTGGCTCGGGAGCATTTAACATGAAAGTGGTTGCATGATGATTCAGACAAAACTTTTTTTAAACCCTTTTTCAGGATGAGAGAAGCGGTTGACAGCCATTAGTCAAAAGTCATTTCATCATTGTGCCAAGTCTATCGCCAATGAGTCACACTGTTTTTCAGTAACGACTGAAGGGTGTCTGGACCGGGTTTCTTGTTCATCCTCAGTAGTGCTGGGTCCCATTAACGATGAAACTTGTTACTTCAATGCCTCAAGTGGAGTATACAGACTGAGGTAAAAATTATGACTCGTCGGGACGACGGAATTGACATTTGGCCAGGCGTTCTAGTCGGCATGAAGGGCAATGAATCAATTGCCCAAATTTCATAAACTGTCCGGCTCACGGAGACTACACTTCGACTAGTGAGTCGAACGAATTGAAACAATAAGCTGGTGTTCCTAATGGCCCTGGTCATGTTCAATTCGCGATATCTAACCATAAACCGGTTCCCGGTCAAAGCTGAGAATCACAGCCAAAAGTCGTTTCGAAGTGTCTCGAAAATCTTGAATCTGACTTCCCGACGAAAAGATACTTGGCGCTTCAATCAGATTAAACGAAATTTCCAAAATCCATTCACAAGTCAGACGCCATAAGCTGAAAGAACACGTAGCCCCGGATGTTTCTTACATACTGCACTGGGGACAATCGTAATCCGCATTCGGTTCATTCACCACGTGTCAGTGACAGCAGATGCTGCAATTAATGTAAATGGTGATGCTTTGCGAATGTAGTTGGAGAAAGCACATTCGAAGTTAGGTATATTGTAAAAACCAGGATGAGTGAGCGCCATGCAGGTAAGTCCTTTTTCCGATGACAAATCTGTCGATCTGAGTCCATGGAGACGTTCGGTGGCCACTATCGGACTAAATGAGAGGGCTTCCCCGCCCCGGATGAGAGGAAAAACAGATGACACCCTAGTACCGAGCCTGAGGCACGCCAATCGAATTGGGTCGGATATAGATGTTTGGACTCTAACATCCAAGTGCCGTTGGCAGAAAAAGTTACTGGCCCATCCCAATACCAGGTGTCCGATGTCATGTTTCTGAAGCTTGTGAAGCAAGATACCAGGTTCCAAGCAACCGAACTCTTTTGAAAAGTCTAAGCAGATGGAGTCGGTTCGGTCACACCATCAACTACTTTAGTCCAGCTGTCGTGTGTAAATAGCAGGCTCGTGGAACACAATCGACGCCGATGAATACTATGCTGTTATGGCGCGATGATACCGTATGTTTCCGGGGAGCAAAGCATAGAGTCTGCAATGAGCGCTTCCATGACCTTAGCAAGTATAGGAAGAAGCAAGTTCAGATAAACCTCCTTCCTTGTGAATATGGATAATAAAAACTCGCATCTGCTTTGATGAAACTATGTCGAGTCTAAACCGCGCTGAAAGATTCCGGCCATCAATCACGCTACGCGTAGTGCTGTTTAGGTGCATCTTATCTGATCCAGAAGAAAAGTGTGTGCGCAGGAATAGCAAATTGCTTGGCAACGCTTTCGTAGTAAAAGTGATTCATAACAAACCTGACGGTAAGATAACAGAAACATGAATAACGCTATGGGCTACGTAACAGTCCAGTTTAATGAGAATCTGACCGGGTAATTGTGTGGTGTGATTGAACGGGGCCCTGCACTTTGGTACAATGCATGGTGCAAAGTTGGGCGAGTAGCGTAGCTGATGAGCAGTATATGAAAGTATCAAGCCTACCCGTATAAACAAATGACCGGGCCAAAATTGCCTTGAGTCCAGTTAGATCAAGTAAATCATGTTTTCCGAAAGCGACAGATGACAACATTTGCTTAGACGCGCACAATGAAACACGAACTCTGCCGTTTAACATCAGGACATTCATTATAAGTTTTTGGGGAAAGAACTGTGAAGCTAGTACTTATAGAAAGAGATAATGTTGGGAGTAGGGTGTCATTAACGGAGGATTATCTTGAGGGGCCAATAATCGAGTAATTCCGCTTCTCAGGGTGCGCGTGCATCTGTAACGTGTGAAGTGCAACTGTAAGGGCCCCAAATCACCAAATTCAGTCCAGCTTACTGGACATGTGGCAGCCAGAAGAACTTAAACGAGGTCTGTTTACACAGTGAGAAAAAGAACGGTCGACATGCAGGAGACGGGGTCTTGACGAGTTGGCAGATAGAGGTAATGATGGACGGAGTCGAGCCATGATGCATGTACTTTGTGATAGGCCGAGAGCACATAACAAAGATGCTATTGAGAAAAACTTGTTCATAACATAAGAAGGTCTGCTACACTTGGGTGCTAGAACCGTTGACCGTTGAACCGCAGTGAAAAAACACGGTAAACCCATTCAAGGATGACGAGATAATAGTGGAATGAAATATATTGGCAAAGCTCAAAAATGGGAAATGGTACGGAGTGCAAAAGAGCAGCAGGATGCGGCTCAGATAGAAGCTCAATGGAAAGCAAAAATCGAATGTCTGAGGTGACAATACAAATCAATTCCCTGATCCACACTAACGGAACGTATCAGTTTAAGAATAAACATGGAAGGTTAGAGTAAGTGGGTGGAGACAGGGATGAAACTTAAATATTTTCGTAGTTCTGTATGCGATTGCCAAGGCAAAAAGCAATTATAATGCTGAGTAACTGCAAGACGCAGACGCCAAAAGCGACACATGCGACGATGACTAATTTCTCCTTCAGAAAGTTAGCGAAGGCGACGGAACATGGCTAAAAAGAGAAGAAGAAAGATGTTAGGTATATCACTTTAGCCAAATCATACATGGTGAGTGCGAATGAACTATCTAGCATGATATTTGATACCACTGTGATCACCAACAAAGCTCGGTGAATAGACAACACAGACCTAGATTTGAGCTACAGCTGCGACTATCTCAGCTCGGAGAAGGTGAACAAAAAACAATTGGTCGTTCAGTGAACTGTCGAGAGTGAACGATATGCAACGGCCATTTGTTTTGGGTACAACCACAGTAGCCGGGGCTAACATGGAAGTAAAATGATGGCCAAACTGTGAGCATATTCATCATACACAGCAGGTACTCTGAAACCGACTAAAAAGACTACAGACCAGTAGCGATCAATCAACGGCCATGTGGAAGAAAACCGACCAGATAATGCAGCATTCACTGAACGAGCAGGATAGTCAAAAAAAATCACAAACAAGAATGAATGTTAAGCTTTCTACAACATTATGGGTTAATTCAAATTAAACTGGATAGTCCATATATGTTTGTTGACTAACACAATAGAATGGGTAATGAAGGTGACACACAGAATTGGCGACAAGACTGGACATTGACCCTTGGTACACAAATAAAAATTTTGATGCAAAACAGTACTATGTTTATAGTTAATTACTAGATCTCTACCTGCATCAGCGCTCGTGAGATTGAAGATGAGATTACGAGCCGTATAGCAAAAGCTCGAGGTACTTTTGCTAACTTTAGTCACTTACGGCGCCGGTGCGACATCACTCTCGAGCTGAAGGATAGAGTGTAAAATGCAACAGTACGTTCGACCCTACAGTACGGTCGTGATACCTAGCCCCTTAGATCAAAGGACATGAAGAGTATAATTACGTTCGACCACCGGTGCCTTCGCAATTTGGCTCACATCTGGTGGGAACACCGAGTGAGCAACGAGCATATTTGACGTCTTGTTTGTGGCACAGGAAAAGGAAATGAACCGCTCAGCACCGTTATTGCACACACCATGCGCCGATGGCTAGGTCGTATTACGCATGCCAGCCCGACTCCAGAGACGTGCGTTGTTTGCTCGCCGAAGGTGTGGATGGAAGAGAAGAGGTGGCCAAGTGATGACTTGGTCGAGAGGAATGAATGCCCTCAATTTGGAGTTGGCCTCGGTTGGAGCGTCTCGGCTCCTTGGTTAGGGTACGAAAGATGATGTACACGTTTGGCCGGATAAACTTTCTGACACGGCTAGGAGCCGACCTCAATGGCGTTTCTGCTGTGAGTTTCTTTCTCCCATCTCATCCCTCCTACCCTCCCCTTCCAACCACGATCACACTACTTAGCCTTATATAATTTTGCATAAATTTTTTGCTGCATAGTATCCGGCTGGTAGCTTACCGGAAGGATGCCCATCCGTTACCAGTAGAACAGTTGCCTTGCATCTGTTGCATTTTCCCCTTTTCTTCTTTTATGTATTGCGGCACAGCAGCTGAGGTGTTTTACACCTCTAGTTAACGTGTATAATGATAATGATGACTAGGTGACACAGGGTAACAAAGGTGATGATCCTTTACGGTCAATTACGCAAATGAGAGTGTGTAAAGTTGCAAACAAGATTTGAAGACAAACTTTCATGCATGCATCCATAGGTGCACATTGTGTACGAAGGGGTTAACTTGGCGCGATGGTTTGCGTATCTCTTCGGCCAATTGAGCAACACCGAGTACTGCTCCCGGGCTCCATGAAAAATAGTCCTACGAGGCTCGTCAATGATTAGAAATCAGACAAAGTCAATCTTCTGGTCCTCAAGGTTAAGGGTTGGAAATGGGGTCGCATCTATATCTATAAAACCGAATCATTGTCACTTTCCCCCTGCTATGTGGACAGGCGTTTGAACCACACGCTTTGATTGAGGCCGCTAATCGTCTTGTCTACATCTGGTCGGCATGGCAGTAACTCAGTCCCTGTACAACCATGACGATTTTAGCAAAATTGAACCACATCCTGCATCGGCCGTCGCGCAGATTATCAAGGGTCATCTTATCTGTTGCACACAGCAGAGCGGATAAGTGAATAGACGCTACTGCTGGCGCCTTCCATCTTACTTTTCCACTTTTTTCTTTTAATCTTCTCCCGACCCCCTATTGATAATCTACCTTCGACAACTCCCAGTTTAACTGAAATTAACCGAGATGCCACTCGAGTTGTGACATCTGCAGCCGCCTTCTTACACCACCGCCTGGACAACTATCTGTGGCAGCTAAGTATAAAGCTAGGTTATCACAATTTTTGGCAGAGTTCAAAGGTCGCATTTTGAAACAAATAAGTCAACAGGCTGCAATCGCACGCACGTTGGACACCCTGTGTATTGACGTATGTTGGGTATCCTCACCGGGTTGTTGAATTAACTGCGCCCGGATTGTCCTCTCGCTATTGGTTGCACGCATCAGAAGACGCTGGTGCTGCAACCACTGGTCAAACTGGGGTGCGCATCGGTCTCAGCTCTAAGGCTGTCATCGTTGGCCCATTGGATTCTCCTGAACAGGCGTTTGTGTGCAACTCGTTTGACGACATCAACTAAAACTGATTCACAAACTAACATCAGACGCTGTTTGTTGGTGGAGTTCGCTAAGACTCTCGCCGATTACAGTTCTGATGCTGCTACGGACGGCTTCTACCACGCACTGGGCATGTTGCTTTGCAGTTATCAGTTGCAGGGGATATGAATACACGAGTAGGTCGTCTAAGCTCTTCAGAAGCCGACCTAAGCGTGCAATTAACTCCGACTGGATGGGACGACATTTCCCCTCCGAAGGTCTTCTGCTAGAATCATCCCTCCAACATAGAAACTCATCGCTATAGCTTGGTACCTCCGATTGTATTGGTGTTTCATTTACTGGTTTCTCGCAGAACTGTGGTTTTCCTGCGGTATTATGAAGTTGTTCGGGGCTTTCTCAGCAGAAGCGATTCGGCCGGCGATTTGCTCTCCGGTGTCTGCGGGTTGGGTAATCCTATACATCAATAAAAAGGTCTGCAGAATCTCGTGTATCGGTCTAACCCGTTTTAAGCAGAGCTCTTGAATATGTCGACGAATCTCTCTGCCTGTTCATTTGACTGGGGAGGACAGGGAGACGAACGGAGATGTTTCACCCATACATCGCACAAAAATTGGCAAATTGTGCGGAGGTGAACTGAAGTCCGTTGTCAGACACAGCTGTTTCCGGGAATCCAAAGCGACTGAAAAGTTTACTGTGGGTGGCTATAGTGGTTGTTGTCGTGGTGTTCAACATGTGTAAGATTTCGGATCACTTACCATATGCGTTAACGACAAGTAATTATGTTCCTTGATTGGCCCTGCAAAATCAAGGTGCACTCTTGACCATGGTTTTGGGGGCGTTGGTTAGGATGAGTTCACAATTTCGGGGCGATTTTGCTGCCAGCGAACATTTGGGATACGAGCGGGTTAAAGCTTTAATTTGTGAGTCCATGAACCACCAATAAACGTAACTTCGCGCCAAAGCCTTCATTTTTCTGGAGCCAGGATGTCCGGTGTGAAACTGTTTCAACACTCTGGATTGGAGTTCCGCTGGTATGACAACGCGTTCCGCAAACAGGACGCAGTCTTGGACGATGGATAAAGAATTCTTTCTCTGAGCAAACTGCTTTAGCCGTGCGTCCGAAATTTTGCGTGACTACTGTGAACAGTGGAAATTGCTCACTTGTGATAGCAACGGGTCACGTAAGGTTGTTCGTAGAGTCAGATTGAAAGATATTGGTAGCCGGCCCACAGTGTCCGAAAGCACCTGATTAACTTCCATTTCTAATAACACGGTGACAACGGTGTCTTCTGACTGATACTGTTCGTCCATCAATTGTGATAGCGCATCCGCCTGACAAATGTCATTTGTCGATCGAAATATCCAAGCAACATTGTAGCCCAGCTTTGCAGACAATTGGTCGTGTAGACTGGAATCCCTTTCTTGGACCCGAATATGAAAAGGAGAGGTTTGTGGTCCGTTATTATGGTGGATACACGACCATATAGCATCTCGTGAAAATGCTTTGGTGCAAAAACGATGAGTAGAGCCATTTTCGATTTGACTGTAGTGTCTTTCTATTGGGGTCAGCGAACGAGCGGCATGAGCGATTAGTTTCTCGGGTCCGTCAGGGAAAATGTGTGAGATGACTGCGTTGACTTCATAGCTTGAAGCATCTGAGGCCACAACAATTGCCAACTTCGTGAGGATCAGGTTTCAGTTCAGCATCAACTTGCGTTTATCGAACACTTCTTGACATCTGGGCGTCTATTCCCATAAAGTATCCTTCTACAGTTGATTTAACGGCCCGCGTAAATCATGCATGGAGGGTAGATAGGCACTGTAGTAAATCATCATGCCAAGGAATTATCTCAGGGTCGCTACATCCTTTGATGGAGGCAGGCATTTGATCGCTTTGATGCTCGATGGTTCCGGTCGTCACCCATTCTCGTCAATGATAAACCTAAGGTAGTTAATGGACTTCACGAAAAACTCGCGCTTTTCCATCCTCAAACTCAATCCGTATCTTTTCATTCTATTAATTACATGCTCCGTCCGTTGACTCAGTTCTTCCTAGTTAGACACCATAATGATGCTACCGTCAAGATATGCTGCGGCGTATGACATCCTTTGAAGCATTGTGTAAATGATCTGCTGGAAGATAGCCAGGGCTGAGTTAACACCAAATGGTAGACGCGTGTACTTAGATAGTCCACGGCGGGTATTTATCATCAGCATCTCTCGGGACTCCTCCAACATTTTAATGTGGAGGTATGCGTCAGACAAGTCTAGTTTGGCAAAGCACTTGCCGCTGTTCAAGTGTGCAAAAAGGTCTTCGGGAAGTGGCAGAGGGTATTGGTGATTTTCGAGCGCCGCATTTAAGCCAGTAGAACAGTCTGAACAGAGTTGAGTCTTGTAATGTGGCTTCTTAACAATTGCAATTGGTGCTGCCAATGAAGAGTAATTGACCGGCTTAATGACT